ATTAACCGATGCGAATAAAATTGCCAGTCTGGTACGTACCAAACAACTTATACTAAAATACCCTCAGTTCATTTCATATGGTTCATGATGAAGAGCTGTTTACAGCAATTTCACTGGTAAATCTGTAAAATGATAGGGTGTTTACGATTATGTCGAATTTACTTTGTTGATAGAATTTGCAGAAAAAATTAATTATATGACCCTCTCACAATCTATAAAATTTTATTGAATTAGTTTAAGAATTTGCAAATTTATTACTTAAACAAAAAGGGTATAAGTTCATTTGGAACACAGAATATATAGGTTATAGTCTTAGAAGCAGTGGCGTATCCAGGATTTCCTATAGGAAGGGAGGGTAATTTTTTTTGCGGAAGGGGATGCTTCCCAATAATGGAACCAAATCTCTGTGACATTTAAGCGAGCTAACCCATTTAGCCAAGATTCGGAAGTAGCATTTCGAAAATATAAGTTTTCAACCTTATAAAGTTGGAAAAGGTCTTTTCATTTGTACATGTTGTAATGAACAAACATGAAAGAATATAAAACAACTCCAAAAAATTTGGAAATTGAGCCAAGGTTTCCTTACACCGATTGAGCGCATCAATAATATGCATATTTATACAATTCGAATTCACTGATTAAATTTATTTCAGTATCAATATCATAGAAATAAAATTTTGCTATATTTAATTTTACCAATAGTGGCATCAGAAAAAAAAGGATCTTTAGGTAATAAATATGAAGATCGAAAGACTTGTTTTAATCTAAAATGCGCACTTTTATTTGTGATAAAAAAGTATCTAAGAATGGGATATAAATTGATATTTTAAAATATTCTTCAGTTGAGTCGATATTTATATTAGGGGAGACCGGGGTAAAGCGATTGACGGGGTAACAATGTTAACGCGAATAACTTTTTAACCATTGAGTATAAAGACCTTAAATTTGGTGTGAAGATGTATTTTTATATCTAATTTCTTACCTATGTTCATCTTTTAAAAAACTTACCTGGTTTTATATATTTTGTCAAAAAACTGTTTTTTACCCAAAAAATATAAAAATCAATCTCTAGTATATTTTGCTTTTAGTAAAATTTACATATCCTCAGGATTCAAAATTTGGCACACATGTTCCTTAATGTATTAACTATAAAATAAAATTTATCTGACATCTTTAGCTATATTAGAAGTCACGCAATAACGATATATATAATATATGTCACCTAGGGGTAAAGCTGTTATGGGTAAAACGGTTAAAATATAAATTATTCACATTAAATTTTTCATTCATTCATTTATTATAATCAAATAAATATTGATATTTAATATTAAAGTTACCAATTGAGCATTATTAAAATTATGAAATTAATTCAATTTATTTAATTAATTATATATCATTTTAACTCTATGGAACTGGTATTGTTAATTATTAAAATGAAATAGTTTTATTTTATAAATAAACAAGATAAGAGGATTTGCATATCAGCTTGCTAAAGAATATGGCAAATCTTTCCCAGAAAGCTGGACAACTAATGGTATGGCTGGAGAGAACTGGTTTATGGGGTTTAGAAAACGACATTCCCAACTTTCGATTCGTACCCCTGAAGCTACTAGTCTAGCAAGAGCATATGGCTTCAATCCACAAATGTCAATAAATTTTTTGAAAATTTAAAGCTATATAATTCTTATAACTTTGAACTACATAATATATGGAATGCAGATGAAAGTGGTTTCACCACCGTTCAAACTCCTGCAAAAATTATAGCACAGAAGGGTGCCAAACAAGTCGGCTCTATAACGTCAGGAGAAAGAGGAACGTTAGTTACAATATGTTTAGCCATCAATGCTATAGGCCATAGCATTCACCATTTTTTATTTTTCCAAGAAAACGATACAAAGATCACTTTATTCGTGATGGGCCTATTGGATCTAAGGGTGTGGGAAACACATCGGGTTGCATGCAAGAGGAGGAATTTTTATCTTTTTTGGAACACTTTAAAAAATATTCTAGTGCATCCAATGAGAAAAATGTCTAATCTTAGATAACCATAGCTCTCATTGTTCAATTTCCGTTATAAACTATTGTCGCTCCAATGGGATTGTTATTCTAACACTTCCACCACATTGCTCGCATAAACTCCAACCATTAGACAAAGCAGTTTATGGGCCATTGAAAAAGTTTTATAATGGAGCTATTGACACATGGATGAGAAATCATGTGGGGCAACAATTTCAGATTTATGATATTCCAGGAGAGTTAAAAAATGAAATACCAAGGGCAGTGACACCAAACAATATATTAAATGGGTTCTTAGCATGTGGCATATTTCCTTTAAACCCAAATATATTTACAGAACAAGATTATATCTGCTGTAATAATTCAAATGCTAGCTCAAATATTGAATTTGAAAATAATGATGAAAATATTACAGTGACTCAAAATCTTACAGTGACTAAAAATAATGATAGTGATTTATCTATATTATTGAACGAAAATGTTCCAGATGATATTGATGAACCCTATCATGATATGTTACCATCATGCTCAAAAAATTATAATAAAGTATTCAATCCTTCATCTATAATACCTATTCCAAAATTATTCAATATTTCATCGGATAAAATATCTAAAAAAAAGAATTCAGAAATATTAACATCTACACCTTATAAAAAAAAATTATTAATTCAGAGAAAAAAAAAGATATCAAAAAATAATTGTTTATGTGTTATAATAAAAACTATAAAAATAGTCGCGAGGGCGATGAATGGCTAAAATGTATAATGTGCCTTGAATGGGCACATTCTAAATGTGCTAATTATGATAATTATTTTACATGTCCTTATTGTATCGATTAGTTTTTAAATAAAAATCATAAATAAATCTTAAATTTGTAATATTTGTTAAATAAAACAATAAATATGTGTCAAATATTATTTTAACCACTTTACCCTAGTGCTTATCCATTTTACCCTGTACCCAGGGTAAAATGGCGAAAATGAGTAGTTTTACATAACAAATCATAGCTCCTAAAATATTATAGATAGAGGGCTACACTTTTTTTTATCTTGTAGAAGAGGGATGGGGCTACACATTGATCTATAATTTGTTGTGTTTGACTCTTGTTTAAAATTTTTATGGTAAATATGCAAAATGCCTATCGTTTTACCCCGGTCTCCCATACATCTTAAAAATTGCCTAGTTGAGACGAGATTTAATTAGTGTTATATCATAAAATTTAGCTTTCGATTCAAAGTATATAAATATTATGAAAATATTCATCTAAATTCATTCTTATTGTATTTACCTGTTCATGTACATTTTCCACCAAATGAATAACCTGAACCAAATCTAAATTTGGTCTTTGTAAATTTCTACAAAGTAATTAATGTTAATTACTCACAAAGAAAGGAAATTTTAACAAAATTTATTTTTTAAAAATAAGATTTATATTGAAAAATTGATATTCAAATATTTGCAAAATTTTGACAGAAAAGAAGGTAGGGGGGGGGGGGGGTAAGATTTTTATTAGCATAAAATGATATTTATGAAAACAGTCAAATTTGCGATGGGAAGGGACCCCCCCCCCCGCATTGGTTAAGCGCCTGGTTAGAAGGTTTTATTGAATTAATTACTTAAAAATCTTTCAATTTTAGGTATCAGTTTATCATTTGAATAGTGTACTGTAGAACAACGTAGAGATCTTTAAATTGTAACTTCAAAAAATGTGGGTAGATATTTTAATCTGTTTTTCAGTAACCTATTATTCTATGCTAGACTATGTTGTTTTCATGCACTTTTATTGAATAATTTTTAAGATGTAAACATTTCTTGTAGGCAAAAACGTATTTTAAAAAAAAATTTGAAAACGAGTTTAGACTATATTTAATAAATAAACATTAAAAAAAAATTTTGTTTAAAATTTTTATTTACAAATTCAATATTAAAAAGATTACATTAAGAAAAATATTTGATTATAAAATAAAATATTAAAAATATACATAATTACATTTTTTAAATAAATTTTTATAATAATATATAATATAATATTTAAAGCAATTTGGCTTTATTTTTGAGTCTCTTTATAAAAATTCTCATAAAATTTTATTTCTTCAAAATTCTAACATTTATAATTATTTAATAAATGTTTAAAGTATCAAAACTTAATATAGAAATTTGAGTGGGATATAACAGTTATATGGGCGAGCTATGCCCACTAATTATTGGAGCTATTTTTTTCCACTTTATCAATCATAATATGCATCATAAGCCATCATCTCATCATTCAATTGTTCAAGGCCTAATCGATGCTTCTGATTGAACTCACAGAATGATGCCCTATATCCTTCCTCACTTGACGACTGAATATTCCACGACAAAATTCATAATTAATGTTAAAAATGTTATTTTTAGCATTTTGATATTACATCTTGATATTCATTTGTATTTACTTATTTATATATCGTATTAATATGTATATATAAATAGTTATATATAATAAACAAATGCCAAATAAATTAATTTAAATCATTAAATATATTTATTATTAGGATATAAAAATATAATATATGGAGCAATATTCGAATATTGCAATCGTCTTATAGAGGGCAAAATTGAAGCATTTTAAAATATAATTTTCAAAGAAATATCTATTGGCATCCATAATATTGATTAACAAACGCATCCGCTTTCCAACTTTTTAATCGATTTTGTGTCGAGGGCTTTTAGAGATATCACTATGAGATTATGAATTGAAAATAGACCTTATATATAAAATAATAATATTCACATTGACAATATTTTGTAAGCTACAACTACAAATCAAGAACGCAATTCTGGCCCATTTATATAAAATACTCAGGTAAAATAAATAGCAAATGATTTTTAAGCAGCAGATGGATAGAAGGAATACAATTTAATAACTAATCTAAAAAAAATTTTAAATGATGCAAATAAAAATTTTATTTTTTAACTCAATATATTAACAGCCATCATAATAAATACCCCAGACCTGTTTATTATAAATTAATAAATATACAGCATAAAAAATACAATTATTGATATTATAATAATGTAAGTTTAAATATTTTTTTAAAATAAATTAGGTTATTTTGGAGATAAATTACATTCTCACTATTGATACATTAAAAAATCATATGTATTTTCGTTAAAATAAGTTGAGTTCATCTTATATATGAATTCACAAAGAAATTAGTAAAAACATTTGCATAAACTTAATTTACAGTAATATACGTATATATATATATTCAATGTTTATTGAGTCGATTTGTGTGGTTTATTTTTATTTTGTGTGCATACGATAATTAACAAGCGCAACCACCAGTTTTAGCATTTTGTTCTATAGGGGTATCTTTTAACTTTACTTCAATCACTGAAAATAAAGTTACAAGCATATAAAAATATTTAACGCAAGCATACGAATATTAATAGAATTAAGGCATGCCAATAATACTATTTAAAAAAAATTTTAGGGCAAAGAATGTAAAATTATAAGATAATTAATAATACTAAATATGTATTAAACATTACTATCTTCTCTCCTATTTTCAGTAGATTCCATACCAGGTAACGCTGCAGCAACTCTCCTAAAGAGCTAAATAAATTAAAACCAATAAATATTAATTGTGATAAGTTATTAATTTAAGAGAATAAATTATTAGGAATAAAAATGGGCATTATTACCAAATAATTTTGACAGTTTAAAAATCATTTGATAAATATTTTAAATTTTTATAAAGTATTTAATTATTTTACTTATTAATTTGGTGTTTATTTTTTTCAGTTTAGAATTTTTTAATATTTTTTTGGTCGATATATAATTTAATTCTTCCATTAGTTCGAGTCAAAAAAATTAACCGGACCCGGAAAACGATATTGAATATTGCAAATAAAAGAAAATAACAAATCAAAATATGCAACATAATAAAAGAGCGATTAATAGGCGGGATATAAATTCTACGGCATCGAACGGAATAAAAATACCGATAATGGAAAGGAAGAAATTAGGGCAACATTAACAACATAGCCTTGCTGCCCCAACAACACATGCTTCAGTCGAAAGAGGATTTTCAGAATTAAAATCATAATTTTATATAAATAAAAGTTGACGATAAAATTTCCGATTAACTTTATTATGTTTATTCCTCTGTTTGTCATGAAATCAAATCTATTTATATAAGGAAATTTGTATAAAAAAATTAACCTTCATTAAAGGTTTTATAACTAAATCGAACCTTTATAAAATTTAATTCCTTAACCTGACCAGAACCAAAACCATTATAATTTTTCTTCCATGACATGAACTGAATTTATATATCAAAAGGCTTGACACTCTATTTTAAACAGCTCATACCTAGCACAATAACAATGCATAGGAAGCAAGCACATGTTTCAAAGTTATTGCAATGGAATAACATAAAAAGGGGGTCTAACTTTTTATGCATAAAGAATGGCTAATCCAATAATCGTTTTAAAAATATGGACTTTGGGATATTATTTGGAAAAATTAAAGAGCAATATCGTATCAATTTAAGGGGATAAATATCCATACATACAAATTGCAAACAATTAATGAGGCAGAAATAGATTCCGTTAAAGATTTAGAAGGGAAATCTCACAATCAATATAAAATCAAGTATTCAATATCTATTAAGTAAAAACCCGAGATGAATGGAGCAAAAATTGCTTCATTTTTTCAATAATTTATATGCAAGCATGATTGGCTTTGCAATAAAACTCAATCTCCCAGCTGATTCTTCCAATAGGACAAAATGAAGCAGAGGTTCACTAAGGCTAAACGCTTTTATTGTTCAATAAAATACATAAGATTTACCTGTAAAAACATTAGTTCTTTTATTAGTGGTATCAGTTTTTTAATAATAAGCTTAAAATGATTCCAAATGTCTTTATTGGCGATACTATCTTGTATAATAGGATTTTGTTAAGCAGGAACTCATTCAGTTTGTATTTATCATGTTAAAAGGCAATTAAAGTAAAAAAAAATATTTATAAATCCTACTTTTTGCAATTGTAACACATATGTTTCATCCTTAAATGTAAAGCAGATAGTATTATTCTTATATAAATATAATTTTTATTTATTCCAAATCCTAAAAAATATATAAATGTTTCTGACCACAAGATGCATCGTAGGCGGCGGCAGCAATAAACTGCAACTTTTTAGACGCGTCATTATGGTAAAAAATACCAGCAATAATGTGGCGGCACACAGGATAGATTATACAACATTTCTATATTATTTTCTATTTTTTAGTGTTCAATCACACATAGAAATACAATAAAATAAAAATGTTACAAACCGTGACTGTACACATTGATACATAAGCGGCGATCGCAATTAACTGCTCTTTTTAGGCATGCCAGTGTTAAAAAAATAAATGGCAGCGGCGTGTCGATATCACATTTTTAAATTTTTCATGTGCATTTTACTAGTAAACTGTTTTCAAAAATAAATTACATCTGTGTAAGGGATTTCCCTTACTTAAAATATTTTCAATTTTATGATTTTACGATCTTTATAGATATTTTTTTATATCTTCTGTTTATATAGATATAATATTAGTTCAAAAAATTTGATAAGTATTGAGTCTAATATTAAGACGTAGCATTAAGCCGTTTTCCAAATTTTCGCTACACGTCAAGTTTTAAAAATATTACCGAATAAAGACAACTTTTCGAAATCTCAAAAATGGTAAAATTTAGGTCTTCATACGGATATATTTTAAAAAGTATCAAATAAAAATCCCTGAAAATTGATTAGTGTTAAACTTATATTTCTTTATAAATTTACTAATTTTTATAATTTTTTATCGATTGGTTTTTGAGAAAAATGGTAAAGAATTTCGTTATGGGGGTCTTAAAGTCTTCAATTTAAATTACTATCAAAATTATTAACTTTAGAAGATATATTTTATATAATTTTGCTTCAAATATGCTCAAGATTATATATTAATTCTAATTATGTTTCAAAAGTACTCTATGCCATGAAAATTCAACCAAAATCTATAAATTAAAAAAGTCGGTACAGATATTTTCGAACTTTTTAATTTGTACACTTTTATTGAATTTTCTCTGCATAAAGCATTTTTAAAGCAAAATTATGGTAATATTTATCTTTTTTAGTTGTATTTAGTAATATTTTATGCATTTATGATCAATTTATACCAAAATCAGATATCTGTACCCACTTTTTTAATTTGTACTCTTTTTGAATTGAGCATTTTTGAAGCAAAATTCATTTAAAATGCCATAATTGGTAATTTTTTCATATTTTTTATTAATATTTATCTTTTTTTTAAGAATATTTGTTTTTTTAATCAATTTATATCAAAATATGATTTTCCAATGGAGTACCTCGAACCCGTAGTATGGGCAATAAATAATAATGCAAAATAACGAGTAGGAAGAAAGGAGAATTATTTTTTTTCGCGCTTAATTTTTCATAAACATTTAATTTCTTCATTCATTTTTTTTAAAAATTGGATTTTAAATATTATTCAAATTCCCTCCTTATATAATATTCTACAAAAAATTAATGCCGAGGTCCCCTTGTTTAAAGTGTGTCTCCAAATTTTGTTACATCTGTGCGGGCTATATATTGCCCGCACAAAAATGTCCAATTTCTCCAATCATTCAAAGGATTTATGAAATTTATTACAATATTCCACTCTGCGATTTGGATAAACTATTTGCCCCTAATTACATATGTAAAACATGTTATAAATATGAATAATGAACTTAGCCAATCAAATTGTTACAGAAGGAACTATTCCCGAGAATTGGCGAAGAAGTATAAATATTCCAGTATATAAGGGGAAAGGTGATCCATTAGATAGCGGGTATTAAAGAACTATAAATCTCCTGGAACATGCAATGAAAGTATTTCAGAGGGTGTTAGAGAAGCGGATAAGGGAGCAACCTAAAATTAATAAAATGCAGTTTGGTTTTACACTGGGGATAGGCACGACAGAAGCAATTTTTGTGGTGAGACAAATACGGAGAAGTGTCTAGCGAAGGAAAAGAAACTTTACCATGCGTTTGTGATTTGGAGAAAGCATTTGACAGGGTACCGCGCGAGGTTACTAGATGGACCTTGAGAAAATCAGATGTGGAAAAATGATTGGTTATGATAGTGATGGTAACGTATGTGGGAGCACAAACTACGGTACGGACGGATGATGGAGATAGTGAAATTTTGAAGTGAAGATAAGACTACATCAAGGGTCTGTTCGGAGTTCATTATTATATATCTTAGTAATGAATGTGGTGGCTAGAAAAATGCGTGAAGGACTTCCCTGGGAGCTATTATATGCAGATGATCTTTTATTAATGGCAAACAGTGAGGATGATTTGAAGGATAAAATTAGTAGATGGAAGATGGATATGGAGTAAAGTCTGAAAATAAGGTGCCAATAAAAATAATTTTAAACAGGTGTAATTTTTGTTTTGTTATAAGTGATAATAAATGTTTAATCGACTTATTTAACTAAATTTAAATTAGGGAGTGCCACCCTTCCCTATGATGCCAATGATTACAATTCTCATGTTGGTTATCATATTTTATAATTGTGATATTTATAAATAAATGGAATTTATTTTTCAATTTTATATTTTCTTTAATGACATTAAAAAGCAAAGTGGGCCACACCGATTCGGCTTTAATATTGTGGTACACGGTTCAAATTTTGAAAATCGATTCCAGACACAGTGGCCTTTACTAATTTTGGCCATTAAAAATAGTGCGATTCACTTCATAGTCTGATAAATCATAGCTATCGTTTACTTATTTAATTTTTAAATTTATTCATTCATTAATTAAATAAATATTAACATTTTAAAACTATATATTTTTTAAGATTAAAAAATTATGTGAATTAACACCACATGCTCGTAGCCAATAATTTGCTTTGGGAAAGGAGGGGGATAATTTATATATACATAGGATCTTATTTTGAAGTTATTTTTGAATAAATTTCGTAAATTTATTGGGACTAGTATGTAGTGACTATAAATGATATGTAAAATTATCAAATGTAAATTAATGTACCAAAATGTTGTTATAAAATATTAAATGTAACCGGCATATAACCCCTAAGATGAGGATATTTTTGGGTTAGAGCTAATTTTTGATTTCAATGGTGATTGTTGCCAAAGCCTTATATTTAATTAGAATGCTTAATCCATTCAATTTTCTGAGGTATCAATGTGATTTATTTGTGCAAGTGCTAATTGACATAGTAGTCGAAATATATAATAATTTTAATATATCAGGAAATAACTTAGATTTTTAAAAACTGCTTGATAAATTAAAAACCTCACATTTGATTTAAAAACCTCGATTTAGGAGATTTTTTTAAAAACAATTAATCAATATCTTAGCCAAATAATATTTATACGATATTTCACCAAAAGTTGACAGATATTTGACCCTTTTGGCAACATTTTTAAATAGAATAGGGGAAATCGAGGTTGTAAAATAATATTTGAACGAAGGATGGGAATATCAAAATTACATCTTTCTATGATTTTTATGGTGTCTTAGTTATCTTTTTTTTGAAAGAGATAACATAAAATACGAGTATATTAAATTATTTGTTGATACATTCGAATGCAAAGAAAATATCGAGTTAAATAAGGCGTTTTATTTTGAAAAAGTCATTTTGCCATTCAAAGAGCACTCATAAGGCTCCTTTAGCTCCATAAAGTCAGCGATTGTGCCTTTTTAAAATATTTTAATGATCTGTATTTTTCGATTTTAAGGGAATTCCCCCCTCCCCACTATTCATTCCCGCCGCTTACGCGCCTGTAACATCATAATATTATCGACTATTTATAAACCTGTTTAACGTTATAACCAGCTTTGGCACTTGTTTCTATAAACATAACATTCAAATCTTTGGCTTTCCGCTCACCTTCTTCCGTACTAACTTGTCTTTATTATTTAATAAATTTAAGCTATAAATAGTTAAATTTAAATTATAATAAGAATTATTGGTAAGATGACAGGTAAAATTTTTGCTACGTAGAATTATTTTAATTATCACATCAAAACCTTTGGTATAAAATGAAATAAATATTTTTGAAAAAGTTTGCAATATAAACTGATTGATAAGGATAATTAAAGTTATTGAAATATCTAAAAAAAATATACCTTGAAAAATTTCCATATAATTATATAAAAATAATAATTATTGCAAAATTTGTTAAATAATTTTATTAAAGGTTATTGATTAAAAATGAATAAATTAATGACCTTTTTTCGGCTAGATCTGTTTTATTTCCAACGAGCATAATTATGACATCGTTCCCTCTTTCTGCTCTCACGTCGTCTATCCATTTCGAAGTTTGATGGAATGAATTTGAATCTAAATATATGATTAGTATAATACTTATAATATTGAGGATAGGTTTAACCAGATTTATTTTTGCGGGATTCAAAGTTTAAAAAAAAGTTCCAAATATATTTCTTCTTCTGATATGAGAATCTGATGCTTTAAATTCACATGTGAGGTGGCATAAAGAGCATTATTTTAAGTAAAAAAATTTACCATTCTTTGTGCTAAGTGACAAAAGTTGAACTAATTATTTTTTCCAAAATTATTTTAATAGCATTTATTTTATTTACATTACATGAATTTGAAATAATTATTGCAAATATTAAATGAAAAATTGTCCTATATAAAAGCTGGATAACATTCATATGAGAATAAGATAAAATCCACGAGTAATAACGGAAAGAAATTGTAATATGGTGTATTTTACAATATTTATATTTCTTTGAATCCCGAACCGAACCTTATTTTTTGAGGATAAATTAAAAATGTGCTATTTGTTCCCGAAAAAGGAAGTACGGATTCGGTTCAATATATATTGGTATAATGTATGACTCTTTATTCTAACAGTTTTGTAGGTAAATATTATTAATATTTAAAATTAATAAGATTAGAAATAACAAGAGAGCAGCGTGTCAAAATGTGAGAAGTCAAGTATATAAAAAAAGAAATCATTACTCAAACAATTTGCAATTTTCAGAGGAAGCTTAAACCCCCCCCCCCCCCAAAAAAAGGTCACTATAACAATACAAATAATATAAGAACTTAAATGTCGAATTTTTTTAATATAAGAAAAATTTATAGAATATATATATATATACTCGTAATATCATATACAACAACTGCCACAGTTGAATCTCGAATATAAGAAGGAATGAGGCTTCTGAATCTTTCCTGGCCTGCAGTGTCCCATAATTGCAATCTGACCTATTAACATAATATTATAATTATTTTATTAATTAACCAAGTTATTGAAATTTAGCTTAGCTTATGGGGTCATAGTTTTTTATATCATATTTTTACAAAGATTTTTTTAAAACTAACATATCACCATCTATTGCTAGAATCAGCTAAATTTGTAAAAAGGGAGAAAAATAATATTAAACATTATTTAACCCTTACTTACAATGAATAAAAATAAATGTCACACAAAATAAAAATTATATAAATTCTATAAATTAACATCTAAAGATTAACTATACAAGAAATCAGACCTGTAATTCGGTATCACAGCCCGGCTCGGGTATTCAGGTCGTAATAAATCTGATTTTAAAAATTTGAATTAGGCTGAATTTTTAAAAATTCAAATTATATCAAATAGCAAATTGAGGCATATGCATATGATGGATTATTTAAACCCTCCCCTTCTCATATTGATTTCCCATTTAAATGATTAAGTTAAAATTAGGGCCTAAAAATTAAAAAAGTCGAACTGAAATAGGTTCATATCATGTTTTAAGAAAATAGATATTTTTCAAGGAAAATTTCTTTTTTTGGATATTAACAAATGCTCGTTTATAAAAAACACAATTAATATATTTATAAAAAAAAAAATTTTTATTATATTTTTAGTTAGGAACCATTAACAGGAACTACCTTTTAAAATTTATAGGAACTGGAACTACCTTTTAATTTTCAAACCATAATTGATGTTTTGCAACGTATTAATATATATATTTTTCCATATTTTAAAATTATCCAAGGGTCTACAGTTACATAAAATTTATGAGGGAAAACCCAACCAAATATGCTTAACCCCCTCCCCTCTAGGAAAATCTGGATATGTATTTGTTAATCATAACACCTCTCAGATAGATAAATTGTTAATAAAAATGACAAATGATTAAATTTTATTAAAAAACAAAAATTATTCCATATAATTAAAATATTCAATTAAATTATTCAAATTGTTCGATTTTAATAAACAAATTACTCAAGTAATATATCGAATAAATGAATTAATCGTTTTATTCTAATACGAATAATTTATTATTCGTTACTATGCAATTGAATAGGCTACTTCCTAGGGATGATCTATGTCGTTATTTAAAAATTAAGAATAAAAATAATAAGATAAATTCTTCTGTGTCGTATTTTATAAATACCCCCCAAAACGGGCACTTAATATTATATTATATTTTGTAAACTCATAAGTGCCAAACTTTTAAAAAGAATATAGCATTAGCATAAATATTTGATTTTCGTCGTGATATCATATAGAGAAAAAACCAATTATTTCTCAAAATCGTATTCGACTCTCTAATCTTGTATCTAAGAATCTTTGAATAATATTATCATTTAAATTTCCTTTATATATTTTCCTTCTTAATCTTGACGCTAAGAAAAAATGATATATTTCGATTAAAATATGAAAAAAATTGTTAAGTGGCATTTGCAAAATTATTAACAATCAAATTTTGAGTATAGTTATAGCAAGGCATGCAAATAACTCTGTGGTTCAGAATAAAGATCAATTTTTGTAGGCTATTCTTCTTCTTATGTAGGACCATTGTCACAAATTTCAAACAATTTTAAAATTTCTTTCAAGTCTATTTTTTTTTAAAAATTTATATCTAAATTATTCTTCAAGAATACAAATCAAAATACTACTGATGTGTTCAGTGAGGCTATAAAAATATTTAGAATTTTTAATTACCTAATATATTTATTTGAAGTTTTTTTTAAATTTCAAATCTGGTTTTATCAATAAATTGCTAATTAAGTCAAATTTTAGGAGATCCAGGCACATTGCATACTATGTAAATGGCGAGGCCTGCCCTGTGTTATTAAAATTTTATTTTAAATTTTGGTGGTTCAAGATTTTCCAAAAAATTGAATTAAATTATTAATATCAAGTGTTAATAATTTTGAGACAATAGATTTTATAAATGGTTTCTTAATTAAAATGATTTCAGGAAATCATATTATATACAGTTAAACCTGACTAAATCATGAAAGTTGCCCAATTTAGAGACCTTTTACTTTAAAAAAATTTTGCCATCTGCTATATTCTTAGTTTAGTAAAAAGTGCGAATGTTCAACCATTTTCGAATTATTTTTATTAATTTACCAAAATCATGAGTAAAATATATTTGTGTATATAAATTTATACAAAATAAAAATGTATAAAATTATGGTTGAATACAAAATAAGAATAAAAATATAGACCTATTTATGAAATAAAATAAGGTGTTATCTTATCTTTGCTTTTTTATTTGGGGTAATGATATATATTGCTGAACCTTATTGATTATTTATGTGCTTATTAAAATATTAGATAACGTTGCGTCATATTTTTTATTATGTGGCCTAGTCAATTCAGTGTGTGTATTCAAGAACCATGTTCTTTTCTAAAGCCTACTAGGTGGTTTATTAATGAATAAGAGGAGGGGGTGTAATATAATAGATTGGACTCAATTACATGATTCCAATATATGTTAAAAAATATGGGCATTATTACATTATAGAAAATTTTGGTCATTATTTTGAAAATAGCTATATGCCAACCATTATTATATATTATTAGCCGTATTTGGTACAATATGTTATATTTGCATGGCGTATAATATTATATATTATTAGCCATATTTGGTACAATATGTTTTATTTACATGGCATATAATAATGCCTTTGGATTTATATATTGTGAACAGTTCCTTTAGAAATATTATCTTTTAGCAAATTCTCTTTGAGTATGATGATTTAAAAATTTAATAACCTATAATTTTTTTAAATAACAATAACTTGTTATATTTGTTTTCTTTATTAATTTTGTTATTTGACATGAACATAAAAAAATGATAAAATTTTATAATATATGCCCACATTATAGAGGTCATATGCAATGGGCAAAAAATTAAAAACAATTTTCAAAGAAGACAATGGCCATTTTATAACAAGAAATTTTCTAATGATAATTCATAAAAATTTGATTAGAATTTAAAATTTTGGTCAAATTAGGAAGTTGGCTTAGACAGGTTAGAATGTATTTTATTTTGTTCTTTTGCAATTTTATTTAACTTTTGATTAAAGTCTATAGTTCAGATAACATATTATTCCATTTATAAATTTAAAAATAAATATATTGAGGGAGGCCTTAAATATGCCGGTGGGTCATCAATTGGTCTAGTCCAATCTTATTTAAGACATAGATGTATCCAGGATTTTGCTGGGGGAGGGGGGGGGGCACTATTAGGCAGGTATTTCCCCCATAAATTTTATTGGAGATATTTAGGTTCACTTATTGCAGGCCTTTGTCTATATTAGATTTTTTATTTTGGGTTTTCACTATTTTTTCTAAATATTTTGAATTATAATCATTAATTAAAAAATATTTAAATTCTTAGTAATTTTTCTTTCAAATTCTTTCTTGTAGTGATTTATTGTATATAGTTTTTGGAGAAAGGGGGATAAGGTGGGGGAGGGGGTATGTGAAGGGAAATTTTTTATTTACTTTAAATAATATTTATGAGAACACAAATTAGCAATAGGGAGATGATCTTTCTCCTTGGTCATAGGTTTGGTTTAAGACCAATAGGACCTAGCCATAGACTTTCATTATAATTATGTGATAATACACATATTTAATCTAAACCTGCATATAGTTAATTTGAAAAAAAGCAAGTATATATATTAAAATAATCTGCAGGCAAAATTTAATTTCATTTTAAGATAAAAAACATCTAAAATAAAGGATTTTAATATAAAGTACTTGCATGATAACCCTTAATTAAATCAAATATTTAGATGCAAAATTAATTTAAACTTACAGTTCGGTCTTCTAGATACATCGTTTTTGATAAAAAATCAATTCCTATGGTGGCCTAATATAATAGTAAATATTTTTGATTGATTTATAAGTGAGATAACCTGATAGGTATTATCAAAACTATCATACATAAACCTTGTTATCAAAGATGTTTTACCAACTAAAAATTTTATAATTTTGCATAAATAAATATTAATACCGCTCTGCTCGCCTAGAAAGACTAATTTAAATTTTCTCAAAGGATTGCTAAAATCCGCTGAAGACATTATACAAATTGTTAAATGTTTAACAATACTATGAAAACGCACGCATATGTTAAGAGAATATTAAATACCACTAGACAAATGAAATTAAAAGTATAATTTTATTTTTTATTAATTATTTTAGCAACACCAAAATGTTTAGAGATATATTAAGCATATTTTTTGATGATTATAAAAGGAATATTATATTTTATTAAATAATGATAAATATCGACATTTTAGACTCAGGTTATTAGTTAATAAATTTTAATAAGATAACATTAATAAAATAATTTTATTTTATATAAATGAACAATAAATAAAGAATTTGTTTATAACTTTCATCTTAGACACATTTTATAATTATTGTATTATATTGCCATAGTTGGGTCTGTCCTCCGGGAAGAATCTAGTTACAGATACAGATTCTTTATAAAAAAAATGATTCTTAGATACAGATATTTGTATCTTTTTCGAATATCAAAAAGATACAAGATAAGATACTTGTATTTGTTAAAAATTATCATTACCAATCAGATAAATAAAATCCAGTTTTTATTATTTACTTGTGAAGATTAACATATGCATGTAATAAGAATTAATATTTACAATAGTTAATAAAATATTTAATAATAAATTAATTATAATAATCAGAAATTTTAATATTAATATTAGCGCATTCAGTGGTGTAGACAAGATGGGGTAAGGGGTTGAACCGCCCCCTCCCCCATAACCTCCCATTTTTTATAAATTTTTTTTTATATTGTGAATAATTTAATTTAAACGGTTTCAATTTGGAAATAAAATATTATATACGATATCAAAATGAAATATTTTTTTAAAAAAAAACAAATAAGAATTTTCAATTTTAAATGGTCACATGGTTTAAAAATAAATATTAAAAATTATATGAACTAAAGTATTTATTATCTCAATTCTTGTGAGATATCGGATGCTTTAAAAGCTATCTCAAAGATATCAATTGAATAAAAATAAAAAAAATTCTATTGTTACAACCAACAGAGCAAGAATAATTATAATAATTGATGCAATCACTTGGTTAGGGAGGCAGGGCTAAGCAAGAGCTCATAGAATATCTGTATATCATTGGCTGGCCCATTAACACTTACATACTCTTCTCATAATGAAGGGAATTTTAAGGAATTGTTGAAACTTTTATGCTATAATAATGATAAATATATAAAGCTTTTCGAAAGCTCTGCTAAAAATGCCACCTAGTCCCAGTATTCAAAATGAAACAATAGCCATTAGGTTCATGTTGAAAGAAATTTTTTCAAAAGTGAAAGCATCACCATTTTTTAGAATTTTGGCAGATGAGACTTCAGATGGTGGTAACATAGAGCAATTATCCATAGCAGTAAGGTTTATTATGTAGCCAGGTGCAAAATAAAGGAACACTTTTTAATTTATTGGCTTGCATGACCAGGGTTGCCATGTCTCCCCCCATCAGCTGGAGACTCCCACAATTTTTTAGTTTACACGCAGACATCTCTCTCCCGCAAAACTACCGCAATTGGAAATCTCCCGCAAAAATCTACCGTAATTTTTTAATTTCTCCCGCAATTTTTTTTAATAGTATTTTAACATTTTTAATATATAAATAATAATTTTGAGAGACATTAATTTATGATTTTTATATTTTTCTATTAATTTTAAATATTTATTCGAAAACATGTCTAATTTGTAAATTTCTTTCTATCCTGTTTATTTTTATCCAATAATAAATCAACGTCATTTTATTTATTAAGTCAGTACAGGGGAGTATATAAAAATACAAAAATATTCTCAAATAATAAATAATACAGATGCAACTACATTTGCGGAAATCGTATACATCCATCATGTAGTTCAACATTCACAGAACTATATCATCACAATGAGTGTCGAATATTTTTCTCATGATATTTAACGACTCCACTATAAGTGCAAACCTTACTTGTGGCAGAACAAAAATGAGTAAGGCTATCACAAATGTTTTAGTACCTGAATCCTAGAGGTCAATTCTAGACGATTTGAAAGATGGGCATCCATATTCAATTCTAACAGATACATCTAATAAGAAACATATTAAAACATTTCCCTTGATCCTTCGCTATTTCAACATGAATAAAAACATTTCCTTAAAACTGTTAAAATTTTTTCCTCGGATGGTGAAAAATACAACACTGTAGCTAGCCACATAATGGTAAATATAGCTGATTCAGGGTTATCAATGATTTGCCTGTCAGCTATCTGCGCTGATAATGCCTCTGTAAATTTTGGCAAAAACTAAAGTTACCGAATTGAGGCAGCACAATAATGAATTAATACAAATTGGCTGTATATGCCATATACTACATAATTTTTGCAAAGCAATAAATGTACTAATTGTGGATGTCGAAATAATTGTGATGGTTTTAACGAATTTAGTCATCAACTAAAAGAGTTAATGAATTAAAAGAGTTGGTGAAGTGGTCTGACTTGGAATGGTGTGAGTTGTTGCGATATATACCTATCAGGTGGTTGTCATTAATACCTGCCATTGATAGAATTTTAAAATTTTACAAACCTTTAAAAAAATACATTTCTTAAATAAAGATTTTAAAAGCTGTCCTAAAATTTTGAAAAATTTTTTTGAATATGAAATGACAGAAGCATATTAGGAATTCATTTCACATGTAGGAAATCTACTTCATGCAGTTAATATTCAGTTGCAATCAGAATATTCTTTATAAAAAAGATTCACAAAATCATGCTACAGCTCTGTTCATCTCTACAGTTAAAAATTGATAATAAATTTTATGGCGCTATTGCTAAAAATATTATATTAAAATGTTCAAATAATACTCTAATTAATACATTTTTAAATGAAGCAGATATTTTTATTTAGACAATTTTAGAATATTTACAATCAAAATTTGATTTTAATAACTATATTTACAAATGTATAAATATTATGACCTTGGAATAGAAACCATCAATTGATGGTTTTTATAATTAATAAATATATTAAAAATACCGAAAGACATTGATTTTTTGTTTAAGGAGATTGTAATTTTCTCTATTTTTTATGATTCGCCAAAATACTTAGAGTTAAAGCAGAGGAGAAATGGATAGAATTTTTTCGTAATAACGATAAATCCCCATACTTGGTAAAAATATACTAGTATGCCTTCTCCTTACCTCTAATGCCTCATCGAGCGCATTTTTAGCCTGATGAGGACTGTCTGGAAAAAGGAGAGAAATCGTATTGCTTTAACAACATTAGAAGCCGAGGTAATGGTTAAACAAATATATAATATGTCATGCCAGGAATTTTATGAATATCTTAATAACGACGGTAAACATTTAGTTCTGTTATTTAAATCTCAAATAAAATATAATTAAGTTTTAGCAATGGCGCCATAAAATTTATTGTCAATTTTTAACTGTAAAGATGAACACATCTGCAGCATAATTTTGTGAATCTTTGTTAAGATTCTTCTGATTGCAACTACACATTAACAGCATGTAGTAGATTTTCTACATGTGAAATCATTCCTAAATATACCTCTGCCATTCATTGTTGAAAAAAATTTTCAAAATATTAGGACAGCTTATATAATCTTTATTTAATAAATATTTTATTAAAGGTTTATAAAATTTTAAAATTCCGATGGCTGGTATTAGGAACATATCGCAACCAACATTGTGCTGACTCAATTCTGTAAATACACTCTGTTTTTACCAAATTCACTGAGGCATTATCAGATCATAATGACATGCAATTTATTGATAATCTCGAATCTGCTATATTTACCATTATGTCTTTGGATTTTTCACTATTTGAGGGAAAAAAATTTAGTTTTATTGAAACGACCTTAATTTTGTTGAAATAGCTAAGGATCAAGAGAAATATTTTAATATTTCCCTTATTATATGCATCTGTTAGAATTGCATATGTATGCCCATCTTTCAAATCGTCAAGAATTGACCTCCTGGATTTAGGTCCTAAAACATTGATGATAGCTTTGCTCATTTTTGTTCTACAATTATAGTTTTCATTTATATTAGAGTCTTTAAATATTATGGGGAAAAGATTCTACCAACATTGTGATGATAAGTATCTCTGTGAATGTTGTACTACAAGATAAGTGATTACAATTGCCGCAACTTTAGTTTCATCTCTGTTATTTCTCATTTTTGGAGTACCTTATTATGTATTTAAACGTGACACGTGATAATTAAGCGCCTATCCCTATAATACACACACACGGTAGATTTACAATTGCGGTCGTTTTGCGGGACATTCGCATAAAATATATTTTATTGTAAAATTAAATCGTTTTTTTTTATAAAATTTTATCTTGTTTAAATTCTTTTATATTTGAAAAAGATCGTTGGTTTTTTTTATAAATTAATATATTTTAAAAAATCAAGATGTTATTTTATTTTGAAAAATAGTTACCGACTTTGTATTTATATACACTAAATATAAAATAATAGGCGGATAATTAAATCAATTCAAATTCCTGACCTAAAGCCGGGTTTGCGGGCCTTCTGCCCGCAAAATTTTTTTTTAACAATTTTTATATTTCTACCGCAATTTTTATATTTCTCCCGCATAATATCAAATTTCTCTCGCAATTTGAAAATTTTGACTGGCAACCCTGTACATGACACTAAATCAAAGACGACAAACAAAAGATTTTAGCAACCATTCAAGACATAGACTTAAATTAATCTAACGAGAGTCCAAGAATATGATAGGTGCATTCAAGAATTAGAGAGCTTTATAGAACAGCTCTCACTGTAGTTCACATTGCCTAAATTTGATGATATATGAGGCATGGGAAATCGAGACATCCGGAACAGTTTACGTAAAAATATTTTAATTTAATTGAAATTTATTAGATTTTATCAGAGTTGTACAAAAGATCTTCTTTGAAGATTTTTGAGCGAGATCTAGCTCAAAAATTTGAGCAAGATCTTTGAAGATCGTAAATTGTCGGTGCATCTTTATTGAATTTATATTTTAATTTAACATGCTTAAAAAATAAATAATATTTTTTTCTTTCATCAAGGCAGCAGGAGGAGAGGTATAAAACATAAAAGA